TGAAAACAAGCCAACTGTATCATGAAAATATATTTTTTCTCATTTTCATGTTATTCCTGAGATGCAGCCTTGTTGACACGTGAAGCTTTGCCTGTTCTCCTGCTGTGTATTACTCTATTGGCTGACTGTACCACAATTTATGCATCCAATCTCCTGCAAATGGGCTTTTCGTTTGTTTCCCAGTTTTTGCTACCAAAACTCTCCCCGCGATAAATTTTTTTCCTATGTGTTTTCTTGAGTGTGTGTGGTGGTCCCCTAACTGCTCGCAAACACCTCAACAACCTCATGTCATTCCCCACCCGCATCGTGTGGACCCCATTTCTCTCCCACTTGACCTGAAATGATGTTCAAAAGAACCTGGGCACATGTAAGTGACTTTGAATCTCTGCTCCACTTATATAACACCAGGCAAGTGACAGTGACGGTGTCCCCTCTCTGGGCTTCAGTTTCCTCCTCTGTAAGATGGGGGCTAGCCTATCTTGCCCACTCGTGGGGAGGCTGAAGTGAAAGAACACCAAGAAAGAGCCCATCGTGGCTCCAACTCCTTCGGTCATGTCATAAGACCAGGGAGATATTCTTATCCTCATCTCTTGGATTAAAAATGCTGAGGCTCTCAAAGGGAAGCCACCATCTCATCACAGAGCTGGCCGGCCTGCCTCATTTATTCCTCAGGATCATCAGTAGTAACCAACGTTTCCGGAGCACCTGCTGTGTGCTGGGCACTACATTCAGTGCTGTGCATGCACAGCTCCTTTAAATTCTCACTTCCAACCCCAAGAAGTGAGGACACGGAGGCTCAGAGACAGGTCAAGTTTTGCCCAAGGCCAGTGAGGGGCAGAAACCAAGCTCAGAAGCAGCACCCTGACCACCTGTGCACAGCAGACACCCCGAACTCTGGCTCCCTTAGGCTTCCTTCCCAGGGCTCGGCCAGTGACGAGCCAGAGCCAAGCCAGGCCTTGAACCAGCCTCTTCCTCCCACCCGAGCAGCCTGCCCTCAGGGGAGTTGTGGCCACACAGGTGCAGGGAGCGGTTCCTCTCCACTCTGGGCCCGAAGTGGCACTCTTGAAGCAGCGTACTGGCAGGGGCTGCCCCCGGCCCAGCAGCCAAAGGGCCCAGCCCTGGGGCCAGTGGAGCCCATCTCCGGGAGGGCTGGGCAGGAAGTGGGGCGGGGTTTGGGGCCCGGCCGAAGTGGGATCTGGTACCCCAGGACTGCTGCAACCCAGACCAACCAACACACTGGGAGAAGATGCCTGGGGCTCCTGGAGTCCTCCAAGCCCCGCCTGCCACCCTCTTCCTCCTCTTCTTGATCTCTGCTGCTGGCGTGGGTATGTGGCTAACAGGCAGGTGCTGGGGGGAGGTGGTAGGGAGACTGGGGAGGCTGGAGAGGGCGTGGGCGCAGGCAGAGGGAAGGGCGCTGGGGGGGCATCAGGAAGGGGAGCTGGGAAAGGCCCTGTAGAAGCAGCATCTGTCTGCTTGATTGTCCCAAGCCAGCCACCGAGGGGAGGCTGGAGGAGCCTCAGCGACATTTAAGGGGCATCCACAGCCCCATGGAGGAAGGCACAGGCAAAAGAGTGACGCTTTCCCCACCCCCTCATCTGCACAGGTCAAAATAAGGAACTAAGGTCACCCTTGACTGAGCTCCAGAGCTGGGGGTAGGAAGAGGACCTGGGGGTAGCACTCGGCTTCAGAGGACAAAAAAGCTGTCTCCTTCTCTGACTTAAATCTCAGTCCCCGTTGCGTAGGGAGCCCCTTCTGGGTTCTGGGGGAGGCGGCGCCTCATCGACATCGCCCCCCACCTCCCCTGTGCAATACCAGCTGGTGGGGCTGTGACCACCCTGTTTGGCCCAGAAGTTCACAGAGAGGGCCGGTCACTCAAGGTTAGACTAGGAGCCGGGATTGGAGCCCATGACCCTGAGGTTGCTGCCTCTTCCCCAACCTCTTCCTCCTCCTCTCTTCCTCACCTCCCTCCTCCTCCCTTTAGAAGAGGTACAGCCAGCCATGTGGACAGACCTGGGAAGGCAGAGAGCTGGGGCTTCCCAGAGCAGCCAGCCTGGGCCGCCCCTGGCTCCCTCCCTCTCATCAACCACCCTGCTGAAGCCCTCCCCCAACCCCCTGCCCAGCCCACGAATGGACTCACCTTTGACCCCCAGGTTGACACATGCAAGTTTCAGAGAATGAGGGGCTGGCCTGGGGTCACAGGGCAGGCCAAAGATTGGCAGGAAGAGGCCCAGGGGGCCCGGGGTTTAAACCCCCAGCCATTCCTGCTGCCCTGGTGAGGCTGGGCAGCCAACTTGCCCTCCCTGGGCCTTAGCCATCCCACCTGTAAAGTGAGGACAATGAGAGAACCTACTTCTGAGGGTCTTGTGACAATTACGCAAGATAAAGTGCCAGACACAGGGCCGGGCTGGGGCTGCGGTAGGAAAGTGCACCAGGAGGGCCTTCAGGAGGAGGTGATGCCCAAACTGATACTGGAAGGAGCTGCCCAGGCAAGGTACTTCTAGTATGAGGGAACCAAATATCCAGATGCCAGTGAGTCCAGTGGGGCCAAAGCACAGAGTGGGCGTGGGGTTGTTGGTAAGTGGGGACCCCCAGGGGTGTGGCACCACCCCTGGGTGCCTCACTCTCCTCCCCAGGATGTCCTCACACCACCACCACCACCCCCACCCCCAAGGTGTGTTCTCTCTCCTCCCAGGGTGTCTCACTCTCCTCCTCTAGGTTCCTCCTCACCCCCTCGTCGACTGTCCTGTCCGTTATCCCAACTCCCTCCCCCAGAGGCAACCTCACTCCTTGCTCCCAACACCACCCTCTCTTCCCCTCGCCCACCTCCCCCAAGAGTGTCCTCATACTCCCTGCACCCACACACCCAGGAGTGCTGCAGCTGCAGAGCCCAGCGCTGGGCCTAGTGCTCACCTGCAGCCCCTCACCCATCTGCCTCTCCACAGGCCCTGGGTGCCAGGCCCTGTGGGTGGATGGGGGCCCGCCATCAGTGACAGTGAGCGTGGGGGATGAGGCCCGCCTCCAGTGCAAACACAATGGCAGCAGCCCAGGGAGCCACATCAACATCACCTGGTGGCGCATCCTCCAAAGCAACTTCACATGGCCTCCCATGTTCCTGGAGTACGGCAAGGGGCCCATGGGCGAGCTGACCATCCAGCAGGTGAATAAGAGCCATGGGGGCATGTACAGGTGCCAAGCTAAGGAAGGCAACGAGACCAAGCAGTCCTGTGGCACCTACCTCCGCGTGCGTGGTGAGTGCCTGGGCCCTGGCCCCGAGGTCCCTCCACAGCTGGGGATGCTCAGCTTCCTCATCTGGGACATGGGGATGGGACCAGTGCCCGCAGTGGGCATACTCACTCCCTGGCTCGCACACACTGGCCAATTTTCTCATCTGCCCAGTGGGGGCTTCACTGGTCCTGGGCCTGGTTGGGCGGGGTGGGGCGGGGCCGGGAGGCCAGGGAGGGCTGGAGGTGCCAGGGTTCTGAGCAGCACCCTCCTCACAGAGCCGCTCCCCAGACCCTTCCTGGACATGGGGGAGGGCACCAAGAACAACATCATCACAGCCGAGGGGATCATCCTGCTGTTCTGCGCAGTGGTGCCTGGGACGCTGCTGCTGTTCAGGGTAAGCCACCGGGGACCAGGCCCCTCCGAGTCTGAGGGTCCCCACTTAAAACTTGAGGGAGTGACAGCACCCACCTCACAGGGGCTGTGGGGACTAAATGAATTAATATAACGGATTTTACAGGGTGCTCAGTCTTCCTCCAGGGTTGCCTCACTCGCCCCACCTCCAGGAGTGCTGTAGCCCTCCAGATATAACCCAGGCCAGGGAAGATGAGGGCTGGGTGTCCCCCCAGAGTCTCTGACCTGAACCAGCCTCCCTTTAGGCCACAGGGCAACTATTGCTATTTACTATTATCGTTGTTGTTATCCATGGAGAACAGTAAGGCAGTGGAGACAGCAAGAAGGACAATGGCTTGGACCCAGAGAGACCTGCCACTCACTGGATATGTGGCTTTGGGCATGTCCCTTACCCTCACTGGTAAAGCCCCTCCTGGCATCCAGGAGGGTCTGAAAACATATGCTGCCCCGTCCTCACTGAGGTTCCCAATCCCCCGACAGAAACGATGGCAGAACTTGAAGTTCGGGCCAGACATCCAGGATGACTACGAAGATGAGAATCTTTATGAGGTGAGTGGAGGGTGGGGACAGGTTAGGGATAGGTGCATTGGGGGGGTTCACACGGGGTTCCCCCTGGTGTGGCTAGGGGCAAGGACCTGGGCATCAGGACACTGAGACCCATCACCACATTTCCACCCCAGGGCCTGAACCTCGATGACTGTTCCATGTACGAGGACATCTCCCGGGGCCTCCAGGGCACCTACCAGGACGTGGGCAGCCTCCACATCGGAGACGTCCAGCTGGAGAAGCCGTGACCCGGCCGGGCTGCCCCCATCTGCTGTGCTTCCAATTTGTGTCTCTCCCCACTTCCCTGGAACGCGGTCTTTTCACAATCTTTCCTGGGAGTGTCCTGACTCAACTTCCCGCTGAGGAGTGTCCACTCTTCTTCCCTCTAGACTGTCCTCATCTCTGCCCCACACCCGAACTCAATCCTCCCCCTGCGCCTTTCCCAGCCTCCCCCCCCACCCCCAGCGGGTAATGAGCCCTTAATCGCTGCCTCTAGGGGAGCTGATTGTAGCAGCCTCGTTAGTGCCACCTCCCCCTCCCTGCTCTGTCATGGCCACTTAGTGATAATAAATCCTTCCCAACTGCAGACCTTGGCAGTAGTCATGGATCTCACAGAGATCACCCCCCTCCTCTGGGACCCACGAGTCCAGGCCCCCAGCCCCCTCAGCCCCAGAGTTCTGGACCCCCAGCCCCTTCCCACTCCCCACATCTGGGACCAGGTAGCCAGTCTTGGCTGCCCTCTGAGAGAAACAGGAGTGTCTTGAGAAGGGCCCCAGCCTAGGCCATGTCCCTGAGCAAAGGGCAGGGGGCACACAGGATGGAGGGCAGTGACCATATTTATTTACTAGTATTTGAGTCCTACAAACACAGGTACAAACACAGGGGACTGTCTGGTGGGGCCAGTATGGAACTGTGGCTCTGGCCAGGCCACATCTGTCCTCTGGGGGGTGGCCTTTAACAGATGGATTTGGAGAGTCTGTGGCCCTAACTTGGGGATGGTGGGGAGACCCAGGGGCAATGACAAGAGAGGCACAGAGATGCAGAGTTTCTGAGATGCAGAGTTTCTGAGATACAGAGTGGAGGGACTGCAACAGAGATCTAGTGACAAAGAGACAGAGCAAGAGAAGAGAAAGACAATGAGGGGAAGGGGAATCAGAGAGAGACAGCGATACTGAGAAAGAGATAGCAGGAAGAGATAGAAAGAAAAGAAGGGTCCATAGAAAAATGGACATGGAGAGACTGACCCCTGAAAGCAACAGCTGGGAAAAGACTGAGATGGAGAAAGATGCAGAAGGACCCAGAGAAGGGAAGAGAATGGTTCTGAGGGAGAAAGTGACAGAGAGGAGGAGAGATAACGGAGAGCGGAAGGGAAAGACCCCAACGGAGAAAAGGGGAGAGAGAGAGACAGGGACAGGGACGGAGAGACGGACACAGACAGAAACACACACAGAGAGGCAAAGAAGGAAAGGAAGACCAAGAGACACAGAGAGACGGCAAGCAGGGGAGGCTGCGGCGCAGAGTGAGGCGCAGGCAGGGTGAGCCTCGCCCCCAGCCCCGGCAGGGAGGCGATGGCGGACGCCAGGCAGATGTGAGAAGCGTCGAGCCGCGCCCTGCGGACCGACAGACAGACACGCCGGCAGAGGTCGGGCGGGGCCGGTACCCGCGGGTCCCGGGCGGAGCGCGGAGAGGGGGGCGGGCGGGCGACGAGAAGGGGAAGGAAGCGGAGGTGCCGGCGGGGCGCGGGGCGCGGGCAGGAAGCGGGGAGGGGCGCGGGGCGGGGGCCTCCGGAAAAACGCCCCAACTTCCTGCCCCGCCAGAGCCAGGAAGCGGGAGCCGGGAGCCAGGGCCCGGGATCGCCGAGCCCGACCTCGGGCGCCCCGCCGGTCACCTCCCCGCGCGGACACCAGGTACACCCGCCCCGGCCCCGCCCGGCGTCCCTCCCTTCGGCGGCCAGGGGAAGTGGGGGGAGGAGGGAGGGGCTGGGGCGCTGCCGGCCGTGGAGGGGCCTCCTCGCGGCACCACTGAGCCGCGGCCACCCCTTCCTGGGCCTCAGTTTTCCCATCTGTCAAAGGGGGCAAAGACAGAAGTAATACTTGCTGAGTGCCCAGGGCGGATGAGGGGTGCGAGGCCCGGACCAAGGCCTCCCAACTGTCCAGCAGAGGACGGATGATCACTCACGTTATACGGGTGGGGAAACTGAGGCCCAGGGAGCAGAACCGACTCACACGGGGCACACACATCGTGAGGCCGAGTGGAACTGGGATTTGAACTCGCAGGTGCTTTCCGCTAAGCGCCGCCCTCCAACCCCGCATGCTTTAGAGCCACCTAAAAAGAAAAACGACCATAACAATGCCGTAAGGCGTGGTGAAGCTGAAAGCTGCAGAGCGCCTTTGAACGCGTTTTTGGAGAGCTCTTTTTCGGGACCATTAATTATACCTTGGGAGGTGGGTTGTAGGAGACAGAGCTGGAGATCTTCCTCCATTGTACAGATGGGAAGACTGAGGCCGGGAGAGAAGTAATCACTTTTTCCAGGTTACTCTGCATATCAGAGGGAAAGGTACGCTTGAACCCAGGCTTTTTGCTTTCCAGCCGCAGCGGAAAGTGTGCGGGGGAGGGGTGCGGGGAGAATTAATGTACCAGCGTTGGGAACTCAGCTGGTCCCGGAGTTAGGGAAGCAAGATAGGGCAGGGAGCCCAGTCCGGGAGCTAAGGGCCAGAGCGCCTCGGAGATCTCGGACGGAGCCCTGGCAGAGGGGCTGAAACCATCCCCATCCCCGGGCGGGGGGCGGGGCGCGGGGCCCAGGAGAATGACGGGGGCAGTCGAGATACGGAAACGCCAGCCCTCCAAGGCAGGCCAGAGCGACCCTATTGGGCCAGCGTGGCGCCGTGGAGAGCTAGAGCGGCCGGCAGGAGGAGTAGAATCGCCTGGGCAGGAGCTGGGCAGGAGCCGGGCTAGAGCGGCTGGCGGGAGGAGTGGAGCTGGAAGCAAAGGTTGACTCTGGGGCGGCTAGAGCGACTCGGAGGCCGGGGTGGGGGAGGCCGGAGCCGGCGCGCGGAGGCTTCGGTTCTGGCGATTGCAGTGGCTTCTCCTCCGACCCGGAGCAGGTGAGGGACGCGGACCCCGGCGGGCGTCAGACCCTGACTCTGCACGTCTGCCCCAGCCTCACTAGCCGTGCACACCGCCACGTCCCCTGGAGGATTTGGGGCCCGTGTAGACCCGCCATGTCCCATGTGTCATTTGGGGCTCGTGTAGACCCGCCGCGTTCCATGTAGATTACAAGGTCCTCCAGCCCCTCCAGGTTCCTGCTAGCGGCCCGCCCCCCCCCATGGAGACCCGGCTCCTTACAGACGTTGGGTCCCCATAGATCAAGAGCATCCCTAGAATCTGAGGCCCTGTAGATCCTGGGTCTCGGGGACCACCACAAGCTCATACAGAATTCTTCTATCCTCTTAAGTCTCCAGCGGTCCTACAGACGGGCTGCTTTCCCTGTGGAGTCGTGATCCTGTGTGATCCCCGGATCCTCCGAGACCTAGCGTGTATCAAATAGAATCTGGGGCTTTATACATTCCAAGGGCCCCCCCCATGGACTCACTTTGACTACTCTGTATTTTAGGTTAAGGCTTCCAGAGATTCTTGGAGACCAGAGTCATTCTCCCAGTATCTTATAGACCCTGAGTCCTGCATGGAACCCAGCCACCCATGTGCCTGCTTTGCTTCAGGACCCCCTACCCCTAACAAGCTTCTAAATCTGCCCTGACACCCCTACAGCCCCATGCACATAGCACCCCCTCTGCTGGACCCCAGGCCTTGTCAGTTGCCTATAGATCCATCGTACAACTTCAACCTATAATTCTCCAGCCTTTGTGGGACCCCCCCCCCATCCCTCATCTTCTAAGCAGCCACCCTTCCCCCTCCAAATCCTCTCTGAGCCCCAGGCCTCTGTGGAGTCCCCGAGTCTAACTGCCCTCCTGCCAAGACCACAGTATCCACATATCCCTGACTTCCCAGACCCCATAAGGAGACCTGATGTGTCTCAGCTTTGGTTCAGATTTTAGTTTTTTAATGTTGGGGTGAGGGTTCCCCCTGCTCTGAAGCATAACATTCTGGTAGTTAAATGCATAAACTCTGGAGCCAGACTGCCTGGGTCTGAATCTTGGCTCTATCCCTTATGATCTGTGCCTCAGTTTCCTCCTCTGTAAACTGGGGATGATAATAATAATACTGACTTCACACGGTCACTGAGAGGATTGAGTTAATACCTATGAAGCAGTACTGCTGTGCCTGGCACATACTTAGTGGCACTTAGGGCACATTAAGTGTTTGCTAGGATTTCATATTATTGTGATAAGGAATAAAGGAGATGATAGTGTCAAGTGCATTATTTGGGGCCTGCCTGGCACTGAGCATTCACTCAGATAACGTGTTCTCTCCTTGGCCCTTTTGGAATCTGTCAAACCTTTCCACCCCTGAGTGGGATGAGCTTGCACCCTCCATGTCTGTGGTCATGTTTTCCAGCCCCAAAGTTGCAGCTGGTGGCCTGGTGAAGGTTTTCCATCTCTGATGGGAATGATAATAGCATGGGGTGCTTGTGGGTTGTGAGAGTTAAGTGAATTACTGTGTGAGAAGCACTTAGAGCAATGCCCAGCACACTGCAAGTGCTATGTAAGTCTGGCTCTCATAATAAATAATTACTATTCTTTTTCTGCCTTGGTTTGCAAATTTATTTATGTGAACATTTCACAATGCTCAAATCTTAAGTTACCCAAGCTTGGCTGTTGGACAAATACACTGTATGGAAAAGAATAAAAATGATGCCTGCTCAGGTGAACCCAGAGGATGACATTTGGACACTCTAGACAGCATCGTTATTTAATGATCACAATTAAAATCATAGCAACCATTTATTGAGTGCTAGGGAGGAGGCCTGTGGAAGAGAGAGGCCTGTGGAAGAGGGAAGGGTGGGTCTCAGGCGACTAGGGTTATAAATAGCTTTGAGCTATGGGGACAGCCCCCTCTCCCCTGGCTAATCTATCCCACCGGTTTCTTCTTCTTCTTTTTTTTTTTTTTTGGTGAGGAAGAGTGTCCCTAAGCTAACATCTGTTGCTCATCTTCCTCTTTTTGCTTGAGAAAGATTGTCCCTGAGCTAATATCTATTGCCTATCTTCCTCTTTTTGCTTGAGGAAGATTGTCCCTGAGCTAATATCTTTACCAATCTTCCTCTATTTTGTATGTCGGACACTGCCACAGCATGGCTTGATAAGCTGTGTGTAGGTCCTCACCCAGGATCTGAACTGGTGAACCCTGGGCCACCGAAGCAGAGTGCACAAACTTAACCACCACGCCACTGGGCCGGCCCTCCACCCCTCTTTCTACAGTTCCCTTCTGCCTGATACGGGCTCTTGTGGCATTAGTCAGAACACAGAAGATGACAGTGGGAAGATACGGGGAGAAGTGAGACCCTAAAGGAGAGAAGATGGGAGAGACAGCAAGAAATGGGAGAGAGAGAGAAATGAGAGACAGCACATGAGATAGCGACTTAGAGAGGTGCAGGACAGCGCCACAGAAATCAGATGTGGGCAGACAGAGGCAAAGACAGAAGAGAGACAGAGGGGAAGGACGGAGCAAGAGAAGCAGAGCTGGAGTGTAGCAGCTGAGGGGGGGGGAGGGGAAGCAGAGACGGTGGGGAGAATGAGACAGGTCTGAAGGAAGGGAGAGAGAAAAATGAGGAAACAGGGAGAAAAGAGGCAAAGACATGAAACAGATTCAGTGGCGAGACAGCCCAGGACAGCCAGATGAGGAGAGGAGCACTGAAAGGACAGACGGACAGACGGTGAGGACCAGATGTAGGGTGAGGACCATCCCTTGTTTTCCGGGCCTGGAAGCCAGGAAAGATACCGGGTCTCTGAGGGAAAGAACTTCTGGGTTCTCCGACTCTTGGTCCCTGAGGGAGGAGGGTTCGGAGTTTTGTTTTCTTATGTGGAGAGAGTTGGGGGGGTGGGGGATTTGCCATTGTGATTTCCTGTCACAGGAAGTGGGGCTGGTGGGTTCAGAAGCAACATCCTGCCCCAAGCCTGTCACAGATCAGAGGAGAGCCCCCTACACCCCACTTATCTCGCTCCTACATCCCCTGTAACATTCCCAACTCTGCTTGCCTCCAGGCCCTGTCTCCCCACGACCCCACCCACAGCCCCCTCCTCCCTCAGACCCAAAAGTCTGAGCCCCCAGCCCTCTCCTGCTTAGAGACCCAAAATTGCAGGCTTTCATGGCCACAGCTCTCTTGTGGACCCAGGCTCCTGGGCCTCCAGCTCCCCCCCAACACGGCTCCCTGTCCTTGGGTTCCCGCCCCGGCTGGCCTCTGAAGGGCTCTTTGTCGCCGCACAGAGGCCCCATTGAGCTGTGGAGGCCTGGGTGGGGGAGGCTGTTTACTCACCTTCACACCTGGGCCAGGAATCTGTGAGTAACCGCCCTCTGCCTCCTCCTCCCACTCCCCTAACCGCAGCCCCTCCTCTTCCCCCAGCCCTGCAGAGCCCATGGAGGCCGAGGACGTCGCCCGAGGGGCGGTGAGTGGAGAGGCCGAGGGGTGAGGGGACTGGTGGACTGTGAGGTGGGGAGCTCTGGGGACTGAAGCCATCCATCCCTCCCACAGGCCCCAGGGCCCCACCGGCCTGGCCCAGTGCCCGTCAGCATCATCGGGGCTGAGGATGAGGATTTTGAGAATGAGCTGGAGACGGTGAGGGGGATGGGGCGGGTAGGAGAGCTTCTGTCCCAGGCTCCTGGGGCCCCAGCCCCTTAAGTCCCCTCCTCAGTGTCCTTTCCTGCCTTAGGTCCAGATCTCCATCCTCAGGTGCTGTCCCCCTGCCTCCTCTCCCTGCCCATCTCTTTCTCTCTCTCATCTTCCTGCAACCTCCTTCCTCATTCCCCCACCCCATTCTTGCTGCCCACCATTACAGCAGACTCCCACCATTTTTACTAGAACCCCCATTTTTATCGCTGCCCCCCAAATTACAGCACAGACCCCCATTCCCTCTCTTCTAATGTCTGTTCTCATCACCTAGCATTATAACATTAAATCTCATCCACTGTCCCCAACATCTGCCCAGACCGCCACCATTACAGCATAGACACCATCATCTCCCCCTCCTCCCAGCTTGGATGGGGAAGGTCAAGCCCAAGGCCCTTCCTCTGTTCCCCACTGTCTCACCCCCCACCCCCGTCCTCACCCCCAGAACACAGAGGAACAAAACAGCCAGTTCCAGAGCCTGGAGCAGGTGAAGCGGCGCCCAGTCCACCTCATGGCCCTCCTGCAGCACGTGGCCCTGCAGTTCGACCCGGGACCCCTGGTGAGGGCAGGGCTGGGTAGGCACAGGGAGGGCTGGGGCTGGGACAGTCCACAGTGTTCAGTGAGTGAGACCACTGAAGATGAGCCGGGAGGTCAGAATGCACAGTGCAAGATCTGGAAATAACCCGAAAGCCTGCCATGTGGTCTAGACAAGATTGCAGGTGCCCCATATAAATCTCAGCAGTGAGGGAGAGTACACATGTCAGGGTCATGCAGAGAGCAACAGAAAATCCAGCAGCCTGACAGAAACCATGACCCCACCCCCTTTCCGTGCCTGTGGCAGTGTCACCCATCAATGACAGCACCCTTTCCCATGGACTTTGGAAATCGAATCCTCCTTTACGCGGTCTTGTGAGGTGCTCCCAGTTACTCATTTAGGGCTGGTGCTTGGGAGAAAGCCACTAGCCTTCCTGGGTCTAGGTGGCATGGCAGGCCCTGGTCCAGAAACAAGAAACCGTCACAAGCAGCCCACAAGGCAGAGAAAATGTAATCGATGATCCAGAAAACTCGTATCAGGCAGAAAATCCCTGGGGGGTGTCGATGCGGAGCTGTGCCATTGGACACACCTGCCGAGTCTAGAGAATCCAGCAGGTGTTTTAGGAAGGAAGAAGCCACAGCGCTGGCTGGAGGGGGCTCTGTGGACAAGGGTCCTGTACCAAGAAGACTCAGTACAGCCCAGCACACGCCACAAGTTGGGGTTAGCTGAGGGCACGGCACTATACTGGAAATGCGTAGCAGAGCCCTCTGGAAGACAAGGAGACCGATGGAAATGCCAGGGAGGGACGCCTAGGGGATGCAGAAAGAAGGGCACATTGACACCAAAGCTTCAGAGAAACTGGCAGGAAATCAGGAAATTGCCCTCTCTCCAGAAAAGAGGCTGCCCCTCACGTGGTGCGTTGATGCTTTGGCCCTCTGGCGGGGGGGGGTGGGTCCCCCTCCTGAGCCTGGGAGTTTCTAGAACTCAGAGCTCCTGGAACTCAGCCATGGTGCTGACTGCCATGTCCTTTTACAGATGTGGAAACTGAGGGCCAGGGGCTTGGCTGCGGTGACTCAGATAACCTCTGGCCTTTTGAGATTTGTCCTCATGCTGCTCCCTCACCTCATCGGCTGGGGGGTGGCCAAGAGATAGCTGTGGTCCCCTGGGCTACATCCTGTTGGCCTCATGGAGTTTTCCTTTACGGGGTAGGGCAGACATAGATTTGTTGAAAGTGTTTAGAGTGGAGAAGGAGTCCAACCCTCACTGAAGCGAGACCTTAGCACACCAAGACCTTACCTGACAAGAGCGCCCCAGGAGCCAGGACAGGTTGGGGTTCCCACTGCATTGCCAGCATCAGCCAGCACAGGGCTGACATGCAGGCAACCTCAGGGAATACTTGATGAGTGAATGAGTGAGCCCCACTTACCCACCTGTTTATTTCCCCAGCCCCCACTGTGCCCTGGGCCCTGTCTGCAACTCAGATGAATCAACTTCACACACACACGTGAACCCTCAAGTTGTACACGGTATTTCTAGGCAATGGAGTATAGTGGAGACAGGTTGCCTGGATGCCAATCCCAACTTTGTCAGTTACTAGCTGTGTGACCTTGAGCAAGCTTCTTGAGCTCAGTTTTCTCATCTGTAAAATGGGTCTGTGTTTAATCACAGTCTCTGTGATTGAACAGGGTAATGCGTGTAAGGGGTTTAGAACAGGGTCTAGTATACGCCTAGCCGTCTTAGTGTAGCTGGCAGTGGTGGTGGGAGTAGGAGCAGAAGGGAGGAGAGAGAACCACAGAGAACCATTTCACAGGATAGAAAACTAGCAAATGCTCATGGTGGCCCTGGGCAGGGGATGATGGAGATCAGGGAGCATTTCCCAGGGAAGGTGGCATTTGAGCCCTGGCGCTTTCCAAGGGGGAGTGGGGTGGGAGGGAGACAGGTCACGCTCTGTCTCCCCAGCTCTGCTGCCTGCACGCGGACATGCTGGGCTCGCTGGGCCCCAAGGAGGCCAAGAAGGCCTTCATCGACTTCTACCACAGCTTCCTGGACAAGACCGCGGTGAGAGACACCTTCGAGGAGCCCCAGTCCCCCCTCCCCTTGGCTCTGGAGAGCCACCCTGAGCCTCCCAACCCCTGCGCCACTGAGCGCAGCGTGAAGGGCGCTGGCCTGGGGAGACCCTGTGCTCAGCCAGCCTGGCCATGCCTCCACCGCACCCTCCCCTCAGACCATCATTCCCACCAGGCTGGATCCCACCACTCCGGAGTCCCCTCCTTCACTCCATTCTCTCTCCTGAGCAGGTTCTGCGGGTGGTCGTCCCTCCCACCGTCTCCTTTGAACTTGGTAAGGAGAGGAGATGGGACATTAGGATGAGGGAAAGGTCTCTAGCAGGAGCCAGGCCTCCCAGGAGCCCCCGGGAGGGAGGCCACACTCCCACGCTGTCGTGGACAACAGAGATTCCTTCCTGTTGGAATCCAAGGGTAGGTGGGGAGCCAGCCTCCAGGGAACTGACCCCCAGCCTCTGACCTTGTCCCTGCAGACCGCACAAGGCCTGACCTCTTGTCTGAGGACGTCCAGCGGCAGTTTGTGCAGGAGGTGGTGCAGAGCCAGCAGGAGGCCGTCAGCCGTCAGCTGGAGGACTTCCGCTCCAAGCGGCTCATGGGCATGACGCCCTCCGAGCAGGAGCTGTCCCAGCTGGAGGCCTGGGTTGGGCGGGACCGTGCCAGCTTCGAGGCACGGGAGCGGCATGTGGCGGAGCAGCTGCTGAACCACCTGGAGGAGATACAGTGAGTGGGGCGGGCCGCCGGGGCGCCCTCTGCTGCCCCATTCCATTTCTAGGCTCCCTCGGCAGCGTCAGGCTTCATTTCCTAGCTTTTGGGCTCATCCTCTGACTTCTGGGTCTGCCTGGCATTTTAGTTCATCTGGTTTGCATCTTTCCTTCCCAGCTTTGGGGTTCCCTCCCAGTTTCCTGGTCTTGTCTGTGGTCTTGTGTTCAAGCCTGGCACTTAGGCCCCGTCAGCCTCGCTGAGAGGGTCTCCTCCCTTCCGTGATCCTCATTCCCCGTTGTTTCGGCTGTCCCCGCTCTGCCTCTTCTCTCTCCCTGTCCCAGTTTCAAAGGGGACAGCAAGCTAGACATTTGTGCTGGGGGGACAGCGACCCCAGGCTTAGCAAAGTTGTCACAAACTTCTTTCATCTCTTTACAGACACACCATCTCTACGGATGAGGAAAAGAGGTGATGGAAGCAGAGAGGCCAGTGGGAGAGGTGTTTAGTCTCCTAGGCTTAAGGGCGGAGAGGCTGGGGGGTTGGGGGGCTGGGGGCCTGGGGGCCTGGGGGCCTGGGCATTGAGCAACAGCCCTGGCCCTGTCCTCTGGAACCCTCTCCCCTGTGCTCAGACACTCAGCAGGAAGTGGTTGTAGGGTTGGGGTGGGAAACAAGGCCGGAGGGGAAGGCTGTGGGGGCAGCAGTGTGTGCATGTCTGTGTGTGTGTTGGGGCCCTCACCGTTCCCTCCCCACAGTGCCGCTGTCGTCAGCGCCATCAGCCTATACATGCGCCACCTTGGAGTGCGGACCAAGAGCGGGGACAAGAAGTCAGGGAGGAATTTCTTCCGAAAAAAGGTGCTTACCTGAGCGCCCAAACCTGGCCCTTTCTTCCCCAGAGACCCCCTGGGGAGTCTTGGGACTCTGTGCCCCTGGGGTCGGATTCTACTTTGTTGGCATCTCAGAAATGCCCAGCCCCCCCTTCTCTCCCCCCACCTCCTGCAGGTGATGGGGAACAAGCGGTCAGACGAGCCTACCAAGACCAAGAAAGGACTGAGCAGCTTCCTAGATGCCGCCCGCTGGAACCGAGTTGAGCCCCAGGGTGAGGTGCCTGGCCTTGGCCATACCCCAGCTTCCCCATGTCACCCCCCACCACCCCCAGCTCACAGTCACATCTCTCATTTCAGTCCCAGACATGCGACACCTCAAAAACGAGACTAACGGTAATGATCCTGAAGCCAGAGCTTCCATGCTGGCAACCGGAGTGGGAAGGGAAGGGGACCTCCTGGGTCTGAGGGAGGAGGAGGCTGGGCTGGGGGCTGGCACTTCTGGGTCTTGGGGGCAGGGGGTCTCCTGGGTAATGGGCGGACAGGGCTGGAGTACAGCATCTTGATCCCCTAGGCCCTTGTGTATTAGAGTCGCTGGAGTCTCATTTCCTGCTTTCTTTCTCGCTGTCTCCCCAGTTGAGAAGCTAGGCCTTACAGAGCGGAAGGGAGGCCTGGGGGCGCCCTCCCGGGACCGGAATGTCGGGGCTCCTGGGCAAGATACCCCTGGAGTTTCTGTGCACCCTCTGTCCGGGGATAGCCCCAACCGGGAATCAGGTGAGAGTTTTCTGAGCCAGGCCTCCATGAAGACCTGGCGCAGGGCACTGGTGCTGCCAGCCCCTCAGATATCGACCGGGTGCCAGTGAATGGCCCCTTGGTTCTCCAAATCTACCCCTCCCTGCTCCTGATCACCAGTGGTGTTAGTAACCACCCCCTTCCCTCAGTTTACCCTTTCCTTGGCTTCCCTCTCAGGCTCTGACCTCTGTTCTGGTGATGTGTGTCTCACCTTCTTAGACTGCATTTCCCATCAGCCCCCACAGCTTCATTTCCCAGAACCCTCTCTGAGTCCATTGCCAATCAGCCCCTTTAGATAGTGAACCCACCAGCCCCGTTAACTTCATTTCTCACACTCCTTGTGGCCTCAGCACCTTGGATCTCAGACAACTACTTGGCCAGGCCTGGATTCAAAGCCTGGCTTGGCGGCTTACTTGTGTAATATCTTGGAAGTCACTCTGCTCTCTGAGCCTCAGTCTCCTCATCTCTAAATGAGGTATATCCTCTTGCCAGAAGTCCCACTTGAGGGTCTGGAGAATAAATGGATGTGGGGGTGTCGAGCAGAGCATCCAGTCTCCTCCCCTACTCTGGGACATCTGCACCCACCTGGCCCCAGCCCCCTGCAGCCATGTCCTCAGAGGCCTTTCCGTCTTGTCCGTCCTCCACTGAAGGACAGAGCAGCCATTTCGTGTCTGCCAGGCACAGGATGAATTTAGCCACCCAAACCCCATTCCACTGTGGAGGAAACCGAGGCCCCCAGAGTGTGGGTCTTGGCGCCGGAGGGGCCGTCAGCCAGCCTAGCTCTTCTCTGCTGTCCCCATAGGTGTTGATGGCCCACTGGAGCTGGGGGACCCACCCTCTCAGGGCCCCGCCAGCCTGGAGCTCCCAGCGCCCCCAGAGAGCACCGAGGAGGGTGCTGATACAGAGAGGTACCCGGGGCCGGGTGCAGCGGGGGAGCTGGGCGTGAGAACGGGCTTCCTGGGTGGGGGATGGTTGTTGGGGGTCGCGCTGCCATTTGCTCCTGCCTGCCTCTGAGCCATCTCCACTCTGCCCTGCTCCTCCTTCTTCTCTCCTTTCTTTTTCCTTCTTCCACTTTTTTTCTCATCTCCTTCCCTTTCACTCCTTCTTCCTCCCTTTCTCCTCCTCTCCCATCCTCTTCACCTGTCTTCACCCCCACTTCCTCCCAGCCGCTCTCCCTGCACCCCTTCACTTTTGCGTCCGTTCCCCCCTTCTCTTTTAAGCCTCCAGCCCAGCTGCCTTGCTCCTGCCTCCTGGTGCCCCTGCCCTCCATCCCCCACCCCTCTGTGCTCTGTGCCATGCCCGGGGGCCCTGTCCCCCTCACAGTTGGGGGGCAGGCTCTGCCCCCTGCCTGTCCTTGTGCCGCTGCTTTGGGGACCCTTTGGCGGGTGAGGGGGAGGTGAGTTGGGTTCCCTCGGGGTCCACCTCTGACCCTGTGCCCCTCTCTCCCCAGAAAGTGGAAGAGGTGGGTGCCTGGGCCCTGGGTGGGGGGAGGGCTAGCCCCTCCCCCATTTCTCCCAGCCCCTCCCCTCTCCCCATGGGCCACCCCCTCCCCTTCACCCCTGCAAGGGGTGGGTGGGGACATCACCCTCCCAGCTGAAGAGCTAAGTATTGAATCCCCTTCCCCCGCCTCAACTCCTGGCTCTGCCTCATCCCCCTGCCTCAGGGAAGGGAGGGGTCAGTCCTGTGCTCATACTGGGTTCCCCTCCCCTCCCCAACCAAATTTCAATATCCCCCCTGACCACCCCCCCTGCCCTAGCACCCCTAAATCCCACTGCTCCTTCTGACACTCTCTCTTCTGTTGCATGTTTGATCCCTGTCCTGGTCTCCCCTATCCCTGCCCTGGTCTGTCCCTGTCCTGGTCTGTCCCTGTCTCTTCCTGTCCTGGTCTCTCCCTGTCTCTGTCCCTGTCCTGGTCTCTCCCTGTCTGTCTCTGTCCTGGTCTCTCCCCATCTCTGTCCCTGTCTTGGTCTCTGTCTGTCTCTGTCCTGGTCTCTGCCTGACTCTGTCATTGGCCTCGGGGTCCAGGCTACCGGGGCGTCTGGGGCGCTCGGAGAGCCTGCGGGTGAGTGACCGCCGCCGGCCTTCCCGGGGCAGCCTCGGGGCTAAGGGCCGGGGTGGGGGCCGCTCCCGGAGTGACGTGGACATGGACCCCAGCTCTGCCACGGCCGTGCTTGGCCCTGCCCGACGAGCCACGTACGTCACTCCTCCCCCCTATCTGCTGAGGCAGCCTGGAGAGTCAGGGAGGATGGCAGTGGGGTGGGGGTTGTTGCCAGAGTCACAGAGAACTGGGGATCGGATGCTGAGGTCACTGAGGTTCTACCGTGGTCACAGCAGAGGGATGGGATGCTTCTTTCTAGAAATTTGGGGCTGGTCTGCAGCATGAACCACCTGGGGTCATCGAATGCCAAGGCCACAGAGGGGGTTGGACACTAAGGAGTTGACGGCTCCTCCCTGGGACTCCCCAAGCTGGGGTCCTAACAAGGCCTCTGTCCCACAGCCCTGAGCCGGGAGATGAGGGGGAGCCAGGGCGGTCAGGACTGGAGCTGGAACCAGAAGAGCCCCCGGGCTGGCGGGAGCTCATCCTTCCAGACACCCTGCACAGCCTGCCCAAGAGCCAGGTGAAGCGGCAGGAGGTCATCAGCGGTGAGTGCCACCCCCTCCAGCCCACTGTGGCGAAGGACCCCATCCAGCTCTGGCAAAGACAGAGACACATGCAGGCAGATGTCCGTCTGGGTGTCATTTACAACAGGCAGAACCTGCAGACAGCCCGTTTCGGATAGAGGGCCATTTGTTATGAAATCGCAGAACAGCCCCTGGATGGAACGGGAATGCTGCCGACAAAGTGACATTTCCAGAGAATTTTGAGTAGTACAGGGCAGTGCTGATGTTGAGAACCGGAAATGGTATATAGCATTGCATTTCCAGCACAGCTTTTGTTTCTTTATCTGTGAAACGTGGGCAATAATGGTTCCCGCTGCAAAAGACTGTCATGAAGAGGAGATGATTGGTGTGAAGGGTTTCGCGCAGTGTTGGGCACCGAGTAAGAGCATTCGAATGCAACTCCGCTGTTACCATGATCTTCACTGCTGTGGGGAAAGATGGATTCCCCAGGGAAATGTTTGGGAAGATAATCAATATATTAGCAGTGCTTGCTTCTGGGCAGAGAGATGATGGGAGTATCGTTTCCATCTTGATTCTTTTCTGTGATTTTGAATTGTGTGTGTGGAGAGGAGGTTTGGCAAAAGTAGAACACTTTTCTAGAAGCTTGTTTGGAAGTTTATTTACAGATTACTTAATAATAAGGATACTCATTCTGAATTTTCAGGGCAGTAGGTGAATATGTTTTGGGTCATGGGGCCTTCTAAGGATAAGATCAAAATATAAGCAGTGCTATCTGAGAGAACTTTCTGGAATGATGGAAATGTGCAGTATCTGCGTTCTCCATCATGGTAACCACCAGCCACATAAAAACTGTTGAGCACTTGAAATGTGGCGAGTAGAACTGAGGAATGAATTTTGTATTTCATTTCATTTTAACTGAGTAAAATTTGAAGAGCCGTGTGTGGTAGTGGCTAGCACACTGGAGAGCATAGCAATTTCTCTCACCATAAAAATAGGCATAACACACAAAATCACGCATTTAGTCTCCAGGGACTTCTGGGGCCCATGGAACTCAGGCCTGCACCCTCTGGAGCCCCCTGGATCTGAGCGTATCAGCTTGTGTGTAGAGGGAATCATTGTGCCAGAAACCGAGGCTGAGAAACTTGCCAGGAGGTTAGACATAAAGACATAACCACAGCTACAGGCCTGCTGGTGGTGGGGCAACCAACTCGTCCTGGTTTGCGCAGGACTCTCCCAGTTTTGGCACTGCAAATCCCGTGTCCTGGGAAATCTATCAGTGCCAGCGCTGGGCAAGCTGGGATCATCGGTCACCCTGGCTGGCTGCCACAGCTCAAAGGGAAAGGCAGTGGGTCAAGGAATCCTCAGTGGCTATTTGAGGGCAAATGACTCCACCCAGAGAGTCATCCCCCTCCTCGTTCCCCAGCCTGCCTCTGAGACTGCCCCCCCATACCGTTTGCACCCTCCCCAACCATGCTTCCCACTTGGTGGCCCCGCAGAGCTGCTGGTGACAGAGGCAGCCCATGTGCGCATGCTCCGGGTGCTGCATGACCTCTTCTACCAGCCCATGGTGGACGGGGGCTTCTTCCCCGTGGAGGAGCTACAGAACATCTTCCCCAGCCTGGACGAGCTCATCGAGGTGCATTGTGAGTGCAGGGCCGAGCACACCCCACCGCCAGCTCCCTCCTTCGCAGCCTCCGCGACTAGACCTGGAGCTTAGCACGTTCTCCTTGAGCACCTAGCACGGGCAGCCTCTGTTCTCACACTGAGGACAACCCCACCTTGGGCCCCCAGAGCGCATATTCTTTCGGGCACCTCAGCAAGCACATGGCGGGGGAACTTGGGGTCCACTGACCCCAAGGATCAGACTCAGACACCCCTGCAGCCCGACCCCCGCCAGCTCCTCATCAGTTCTGCAGTCTTCCCTGCCCTGACAGATCTCCCCTTTCCTCACCGCTCCCACAGCCCTGTTCCTCGATTGCCTGATGAAGCGGAGGCAGGACAGTGGCCCCGTCATTGAGGAGATCGGAGACGTACTGCTGGCCCGGGTGAGGGTGCCCAGCCCTGTCCTCATCCCCTCCTCCCAGCCAGGGAGCCGGAATCCAGACCCCAGGAGGCCAGGTCTCAGGCCTTTCCCCACTCAACACCCAGGGGTCTGGGTCCCTAGCCCTGTCCTCCCGTCTAGGCTGCCATCCCCAAAGCCCCACTCTTCCCAATCCCACCTGAGACACCCTCCCTGGCCTGCATCTCGCTGTAGTTTGATGGTGCTGAGGGCTCCTGGTTCCAGAAAATCTCCTCCCGCTTCTGCAGCCGCCAGTCGTTTGCCTTAGAGCAGCTCAAAGCTAAACAGCGCAAGGAGCCTCGGTTCTCTGCCTTCGTGCAGGTGAGGCGGGGGGTCTGGGCCCCGGGGTCCCAGGGGGGAGGGGGCTGGTGTCCCGATCCCCAAGGCAAGCCCAAGCCTGGGCCACCTCAGCACCACTGTCCCCTCAGGAGGCCGAGAGCCGCCCACGGTGCCGCCGCCTGCAGCTGAAGGACATGATCCCCACGGAGATGCAGCGTCTGACCAAGTATCCCCTGCTCCTGCAGAGCATCGGGCAGAACACAGGTACTGCTGGGCCCGGGTCACCCTGCTGGGCCCAGCTCTCCTGCTCTAACCTTGGCCGCAGGACCAGGAGCTTCCAGGGTTGGGGTTCACCAGGGCTGGTCTCCCCCGCAGAAGAGCCCGCGGAACGGGAGAAAGTGGAGCTGGCAGCTGAGTGCTGCCGGGAAATTCTGCACCATGTCAACCAAGCTGTGCGCGACATGGAGGACCTGCTGGTGAGCCTGGGTGTGGCCTGGGGCCCAGGGCAGTGGGGCATGTGTGTGCAGGGGTCAGCCTGGCCCTGAGCTTGTCCGCCTCAGTGTCACTGCCCGTCCAGGGAGTGGCCTGGCCCTCAGCTCCTCCCTCTCAGGGTCATCGGAGGTCTGACCCGGCCCTTAGCTTGTCACCTGCAGTGTCACTGTAGGTCAGCCCCAGCCCTTGGCTTGTCCCCTGACACTCTCTTCCTGTTCCAGCGGCTCAAGGATTATCAGCGGCGCCTGGACTTGTCCCACCTGCGGCAGAGCAGCGACCCCATGCTGAGCGAGTTCAAGGTGGCCCCCCTTCTCCTCTCCGAACCTCTCCTCTCCCCTCACCCGCTCTGGCCCTGCTTTCCCAGGGGATTCTCTGATAACATGCCCAGGGAAGGAGAGTGTCCCCTCAGCTCTGACCCCCTCCCCATTCCCAGTGAGGCGCCCATCCTGACCCCTGACTGCAGTACCTGGCCCCACAGTCATCCCCACCCTGCCCTGCCCCGCCCTTGCCTGCACCTGCCATCACTCCTTCTTGCCTCTAGAACCTGGACATCACCAAGAAGAGGTTGATCCATGAGGGCCCACTGACGTGGCGGGTGACAAAGGACAAGGCCGTGGGTGAGCATCAGGGTGGTTGAATGGGGGCCAAAGCAGGGGGCAGGGGGCTCAGGTGGGGAGTGCTGAGCACGGGCCTTGCCCCCTACAGAGGTCCATGTGCTGCTGCTGGATGACCTGCTGCTGCTGCTCCAGCGCCAGGACGAGCGGCTGCTGCTCAAGTCGCACAGCCGGACGCTGACGCCCACACCCGACGGCAAGACCATGCTGCGGCCGGTGCTGCGGCTCACCTCCGCCATGACCCGTGAGGTGGCCACTGGTGAGGCCTGGCCCTGGCCCCAGTGAGAGCTGCCTGGGGAGTGGGGAGCAGGACCTTCTAAGAGCCGGGAACGCACGTTCTGGCACAGGGGAGGCCGCTGCAGAGGTTGAGGAGCGGGAAAGCTTGGCAGGGCTGAGGCCGAGGCTGTGAGAGCAAGGCCCCAGAGCCGGGTAGGGCCGGGGGGCCGGGCTGGGTTGTCGGTTTTATTAAGTGCAATGGGAAACTGCCCCAGGTTTTTGCACAGAGGAGCAGCCAGCTCTAATCAGTCCTTTGAAAAGACACCCTGGCTGATGCTTGGGGATGGTTGGGGAGGAGGAGTGGAAGCTGGGAGCCCAGTAAGGAGGGATTTGCAAGCATGCTGCCAAGAAGCTGCACCACGGCCATGGTGGTGGGAGTGGCTCGAGGGGTTTTGTGGGTAGAGCCAGCTGGGGAACTTGTCGCATGAGACAGAGAGGCTCGGGAGGAGGGCACAGGAGGGGCGAATTGAGTCATGGGAGCCCTGAGGGCACCACCATTACTGGGGCTTCCCCAGCCTCCAGCCAGTGCTCAGGGAGGGTGCCCAGTGGGGAGACCCTGGCTCTGAGCCCCACCTCTCTCTCCCACTGCAGATCACAAAGCCTTCTATGTCATCTTTACCTGGGACCAGGAGGCTCAGATATATGAGCTGGTGGCGCAGACGGTGTCGGAACGGAAGAAGTGAGGGGTTCAGGGTTTGGAACGCGGGTAGAGGAAGCAGCCCAGGCCCCTGAGTCTGTGGGGACAGGGTGGAGGTGGGAGGCCCGGGCACAGGGTCTGGGGGCTCTGACTGCCCAGGGGCTGCCCTGTCTCCCCAGCTGGTGTAACCTTATCACTGAAACCGCCGGATCCCTCAAGGTCCCTGCCCCTGCTTCCCGTCACAAACCCCGGCCCAGCCCAATCAGGTGAGGGGGCCAGGGAGGGAACTGGACGGCTGAGGGGCCGGGGGAAGCATGTGTGTCCCCAGAACCCGAGTTCTAGCCCTGTCTCCGTGTGTGTGTGTGTGTGTGTGTGTGTCTGCGTGCGCACGCATGCACGCTCGGTCATGTATGGGCGCACACGTGTTGTCCCACCACTGCCCATCTGGCTCCTGTCCAGGCCTGTCTGTCTGCCTCTCTCCCAGCCTCAACCTCTGTCTCTGTCTCCGGACCTCTCTGCCTCCACACCTCCAGCTCTCTGTCTCCTTGCCCCTGCTGCCCGCTGGGGCCAAGGCTGTGATGTCACCCAGCTCTTCCTCTCCCCAGCACCCGTGAACCCCTGCTCAGCAGCTCCGAGAACGGCAACTGTGGCCGTGAGATGCCCCCGGCTGATGGTGAGCCTGGAGGGGTGCCCAGTGGGGGCGGAGGTGTCCCCAGGAAGCCCAGCAGGATCTGAGCACCCTCCCTGCTCCCCCACCCAGGCCGAATGGAGAGACTCCTCAGCGCCCTGCTGCCCTTCAGCAGACTCGGCCCTGAGGGCCAGCTCGCTGCCAAGGCCCTTGGGAAAGGTAGCCCAGCCCTGCCCCCTCCAGGGCCACCACCTGCCCAAATGTTGCTTTCCAGTTTGCCTCACGCTCTGCCACCAGAAACAAATGCACCACCGTCCCCGGTGGCCCCAAGTCTCTCTTCCTTCTGCAGCCTCTGTCCCTTCCTTGACCTTCAGTTCAGCCTCTCCCTGGACCCATCTCCATCCTCAGTGCACTCCCACCCCTCCCCAACCCTAGACCCAACCTCACCTCTGCATCCCCTTGTGCATCCCCCAGACCCATTTGCAGGCCTGGCTAACCCAGCCTCGCCCGGTACCCACCCTCCCCTCCCACCCGCAGGCCCCTGGCCTCTTTCGCAGCCCTCACCTGTCCCCCTCTGAATCTCCCATCCCAGCCTGGGCCCCACTTCTGACTCTGTCCCCTTGCCCCTGGCCAGTGCTGTCCCTGAAGCAGCTCCTGTTTCCCATGGAGGAAGACAGCGGGGCGGGGCCTCCCCGTGCAGGGGATGGGGTCCCAGGGGGTGGCCCCCTGAGCCCAGCGCAGACCCAGGAAATTCGGGAGGAGCTACTCAGCCTGGAGGAGACCATTAAACAGCTGGAGGTGGTGCCCTGGGCAGGGTGAGGGAAGGAAGGGGCCGACTCAGTGGAGGGACCCCTCTCATTGATGACCCCCAACCAGGAGGTGGAGGAGGAATTTTGTCGCCTACGAGTCCTCCTGTCTCAGCTCGGGGAGAACACTGTCCCCCAGCCTGGCTGTACCTGAGGATCCCTGCCTCAGGCAGGTGAGTGGGAACCGAGGGGCCCTTGAGCACTGCCTAGAGAGGAGGGACCAGAATGGGCACCTCAGGGGCTCCCCTCTCCACAGCCCTATCCATTTTTCTTCCTCCATCTTTGTCATTCTGAATCTCCCCACTCCACCTCCTGTCTCTCAGTTCCTATTTCCCTGGCTCTTTTGTGCTCTCTCTTTCACAGCTTCCCTTTCTCGCCCCTCTTTCCGTTTCTCTCCATCTCCACCTCCCTCTCCCCATCTCTCTCTCCTTGTCTCCCTTCTTCTCCTATGTCCCCCCAGGCCTTTTGCAAGAAGGAGAGGACGGGAGGGCCACCCCCTACCGCACAGCTGCCGCAGCATCTCCAACCCCAAGGGCCTGAGGAGAGGGAGCCGGGCGTCCGGGGCCACGCCTGGGGGGCCCCCACTGGGATCAGCGCCCCCCCAACCTCGCGTTGGCCTCGGCCTTCTCTCCCTCCTGCCTTCTACTTGGGGGACTCAGGGCTTCATTCCAAGGGGGCACCACGGTGACCCCCATTTCCCGGGCCATCTCAGTATTGCCTGGGGGGGCCACCCCCCACCCCCAAGTGCCTTTGCTCTGTTTTTATACCCTGAATTGGAGGTTTATTTTTTAATATATATTATCTAAGAAGACGTCTGTGTTTGTGAGGGCGGAGTGGGGCCTTAGAGTGGCGTCTGGAACCCTTCGTGACTGTCTGGCATCACCTTCCTGGGTCTGTCCCACCACGTTGCCTCTTGCGTCTCTTTGTCTGTTCATTCATTCCTGTGTTTTAACAGTTACTTCCCAGGCACCCAGCACACACTGCCCGCCCTCCCCCCCAGCTCCCACCCCCAAGCCCCAGGATCACCCACGACGCTGGGCGCCCCACGTCTCACGCTCCTTTCCATTCTTTTATTTTTGTAGTAAACTCTCTGGAAGTGGCTGTTGGGGGTCATGGGGAGCTTGTGGGGAGGGGGGGCCCTCCTGGGTGGGGGCTGGGGGCGGGGTTATTGCTCTGAGCTCCCTGTCCCCAGGGGGCCTGTGTGGGGAGGGTGTCAGGACTGGGACCGGCACAGGGGGGTCACGGCTGCACAAACACGCAGGTCACAGCACAGGGGGCAGGTGGGCAGGGGAGGCTGGGCGCCGTATTGCACTTCAGGAGTGGGGCCAGGCAGGGACCCCCCTCAAACTGGAGCCTGGGGAGGAGGCTGGAGGCCATCACGTTCCCTCCTGCCTCCGGAGAGGGAGGTGAGACCCTCATTTTTGGGTTGGGGAAGAAGGAGACGGGCAGTGATGTGCCCAGCCCTGGGAGGGGCTGAGGGCTGGTCCCTGGCCTTGGGCCGGACACAGAGGGCAGACCAGAAGATGGAAGAGGCTGCACAGGCAGCCGCCCTGGTCCCCACCTCGGCAGAATCCATCACCCCATGCCAGCTCAGCTGCCGACCCCACCTTTGCCCACCTTGGCCTTGGTGGGGACAGGGGGGCCCTCATCACCCTCGCTGTCAGAGCTGCAGCCACTGACGTCGGTGATCTCCAGCTCCGAGTCGCTGTCCTCCTTCCCACCCAGCGTGGCCTCTGGACCCCCAGCCCCTGGCAGTGCCAGGCGGGGGGCTGCTGCCAGGCCCGAGGGGCGCTCAGGGCCCAGGCCTTCCCCTGTCGCAGCCAGTAGGGGCTGGGCTGTGGGACCTCCCGCTGCCCCTGCTGAGGGCAGGTGGCCCAAGGAACTGGCCAGAGGGTTGGGATAGAAGTGCGGCGGGTAGAGAGAGGGGGGCAGCTTGGGGAAGGGGCCTGTGAGGTATGGGTTAAAGTTCCAGGGGTACTCTGGGAAGGCGCGGCCATAAGGCCCCAGCAGGCCAGGGGGCTTGGAGTAGCCGGTGGCACCTGGGGGGGCACAGGGGGTGGGTCAGGCTGTGCCACCCCTCCACCGTCGGGGGCCTGCCTGGGCATTAGTAAAGGGTGCCACCTCCCTGCCATGTTCCACCCCATTCTCTGCCACACGTGGCTTCCCCCATCTCTTCCACCTCCCCCACTCGTCTCCCCTTTCCTTTAGCGCCCCTGAGAGCCCTTCTCCCAGCCTGTCCCCCTTTCCAGTTCCCTCCTCCCTGCTTTCTCTGGCTTTTAAACACATACATACATGTGTGTACACACACACACATACACACATGAGCACCCTCCTTCCTGCATCCTGTCTCTCCTCCCTGTCTTTGCTCATCCTCTTTCCTCAAACACCTGCAGCATCCCCCCGCTGGCACCCCTGGACCCCAGGCCCTTACCGGAGCCCAGGAACGGGAAAGGGCTGTCCAGACGCAGCTTGTCTGTCTCAGGGGTGAACAGGGGCGCCCGGGCCCCCGGCTCTCCCAGGCGTGGGGCAGAGAACAGGGTCTGCAGGGTCTGGAGAAGGAGGTGAGGGAGGCAGTGCCGCTCAGACTGGCTGCCCCCTCCCCAGGGGCTCACGGCTTGCGGGGGGGGGCACCAAACACCTCCGTTCTGGGACCTCTGTCCTAACTCACCTCAGGGGTGAGGGGAGGAGCATCTGGCCCAGGGCCTCCCCCAAAAGGACCAGGGGTCAGCAAGAGTGGGGAGCCCGTGGTGGCTGCCGCCACGTCCAACAGTGGGTAATTGACAAGCACGACTTTGCTGAAGTTGAACTTGTAGGTGAACCTCTTCCCTTTGGTCTTGTGGAGAATCCGCTTGTTGTAGTAGTAGCTGCGGGGAGAGGACAATGGGGGGCGATGGTGGGGAGGGCCCCTAACACATGCTCTGTGCCAGGCACAGTGCACAGAGCACAACAATTTGGGGAAACCGAGGCTCAAAGAAGTCCCTTGCCCAAGGTCTCAGGGGAGGCCGGGGTTGGGATCCTAGCCTGTGTGGCCCCAAAGCCCTGCCTCCCATCCTTCCTCCTTGCCTTCTTTCCACCCTCAAGTAATTACAGGGCTACCCCTGCCCTGTGTGTTGGGATCCAATGGGATCCTGCCCCAGGGAGTTGAGGGGGAGCCCCCCAGGGAGTGGGGCCCAGAGGGACAGTGAGGGGAGAAGGGGCGAAGTGGGAGTCTAGGCCCCCAGGTCCTCACCGCAGGGCCCGGCTCAGCTTGTCATAATTCATGTGAGGCTTGCATTTGCGGATGCCCCAGAGCCGAGCCACCTCGTCGGGGTCCTTGATGACAAATTCCCCGTAGTCCCCCTGCCAGGCGATGACACCCTGGTACTCTTCCTTCTGCAGCAGCTCCAGGATAAAGTGCCACAGCTGGATCTGCCTTGAGCCAGGGGACGACTCCGGCTTGTAGGCCCAATCTGGGAAGGCAAACCCTGGGGACAGGAGCAGGGGAGTGGCCACAGGTCAGGACGCCAAGTCCAGGGCTTTGGTCCTGCTTGGACTCGAACCAGGAGGCATCCAGCCCTCCCCCAACTCCTGGTCTCTGATGAGCAGCCGCCCAGCCTCAGGCATCTTTAGGGACCCTATTCCCACTATTTGTACCCCACTAGGTTTCTAGTCCCCAAATTGTCCAAATAGTGAGAGAGAACTCAGTCATCCGGGGACCCTGCTTTGGCCCTTCCACCCTGATCCCCTACTAACTCTCCCAGGTTCAGCGTCCTGGGGTAGAGCGTGGGAGGGACCAGTTTCCTGCATCCTTGACCCGTGGGGAGGAGCTGGGAGCAGGCAGCCTGCAGGGAAGGGTACCCCCTGCAGAGCATTAGCCCTCCCCACTGTGCCCCAACCCCAGCCCTGCTCTGGAAGGTCTTTCGTCTCTCCCACACTCTGCAATGCCCTTGTCTCCTGCTGTCTCCGGCCCCCTGCTCCATCTCTCCCCGAAGCCCCCAGATGACCCACCCTGGTACATCCAGATGGCTTGTGTGCGCCTGTGTCTCTGCACCTGTCTATGTATACGCCTTTCACGTCCCCATGTCCCCTCCCTGCATCCATGCTATGTCGGTCCGAGAGCAGTGTGTGTCTGCAGATGCCCACAGCACACATGTCACACAGACGTCCACTCACCCTGGAGGGACACCCAGCTACACCATGGAACACAGATGCACCAGAGTGCACACTCCTGCTGGGACACAACACACCACACACTGTGCCACCAAGGCGGACATGCCAGACACCCAGCATTGCACACCCATCCAACACACAAAATTACACATCTCAGGCCCCTCGGAACTGGGACCCACTAACAACACAATCATGACAAGAGACACACAGGACCCCAAAGGCCCAAATAACAGTGTGGTGGAGACAATGAGTGCAGCATCAAGACACACTTGTCAACCTGACAGGTACACACAGAGTGACACCGTGACAGTAGGACAGCCTCCCAAACCCCCACACACAGGCAGCCACACTCTGTAACACTTGCAGCTGACTCCGCATTACACATGGCACACTCATGGGCATCCTGCGCCCCACTGTCCAAATGTGCCCAGGAGCTGGGTGGAAATGGGAGGGTCTTGCCCACCCCTCAACCTCGCCTCCCATCCAGAAGGCCCCAGGCCCAGGGTCCCACTTCTGTGCTCACTCCTGTATGCCCTTCCCCCTCCTCAGAGACCCCAGACCCAGGCTTGAAACAGAAGGAGAATTAGCCTACAAGAAAGGGAAGGAGGTTGGAGAGGGGGACGGTGCTGAGCTGGGAGATCGGGTCCCCATATCCACTTGCTGTGTGGTCCCAGGGCAGTTCCTTGCCCTCTCTGGCTTCTTAGAATTTCAGGGGTCGGAGGCAAGGAGGAGCAGGGTGCCGTCCAGGCTGTCTGGTGTATAAAAGTGGCTGCTAATGCCTCCCTTCCTGCAGGCTGGAGAAGGCCTGGCAGTTTCTTCCTTGAAGGGAGAATTTTTCTCTTAACTCGATTCTCCCTCGGATGACAGGACTCCATCAACACGCGGGCTCTGGCCCATTCCACACCCAGAACACGTCCTAGTGGGGAAGCAACTGTATCACAGACACATCCACACAACCCCAAACATGACAGTGTGCAACTGGGCACACATATGCAAACAGAACCCAAACCAGAAACACCACCTGTCCTCACATGCATGTCCTCACATGTGTTGTACCTGCTGAGACACACACACTAGAGAGAGGGTCCGCAAGCTCAGCACGCAGACACGTCATGACAGCCCCCAACACTCAGTCACTCTCAGTGCCACACAGATGCGAGAACTCCCCCACCACATACACACACCAATACAGACAGCCCCCAACACAGAGACGTGGGGGACACCCACCCACACAGCCCGAAATGCACCAAGACAGCCATCCGGAATGCCACACCACACAACAGACCCGTAAGGAACAGGTGAAGGCTCTTCACCCTACTGAGGCAGGCGCATACTCCATGAGCTGGCAGACACCCCCCCAGTCCTAACATGTAGACATGCACGACATCCCAGAGAAACACAACACGCCAGCCCAGAGACACTAAGGTTGCCTTAGCTGTGCGTGTCCAAGCAGGCACACCGGCTCACAGAAGGACAGACAGATGCTGCACAGACACACTCTCCCAATGTGACCCTTTCTTGCAGAAACACTGAAGTGTGACACAGGGACACACTCCAAGACCCCAAATAACCAGGCATAGAGTCTCAGTACATGCACACACACACAGCCCATGTGTGTGTGTCAAATGCACGTCCAAGCCATTCTTACTGTCCACATCCCCAGCTCTGAGCATCCACTTCCAAGCAAGCCGTCCTCTCTCCAAGGGCTCCAGCTGGCTGGGCTATGTCTCCACATCTCCCTGCCTGGGTAGTCCCTTCTGTCCATCTGTCCACCAGCCCCTGGCCTAGTGCCCCCTCGGTCCCCATCCCTGCTCCATTAGTGCGTGTCTGTCTCCAGTCCCCCTGCTTCTCTGCCTGCAGGTCCTGGGTGGGAGCAGGCTGAGATGTAGGCGGCAGAGACCCCAGGACCTCAGGCCCTGGATCCTTGTCCCTCTCCGACCTCAATACCTCACCACCATCCCCAAAAGACCCCCTGTCCCAGCAGGCACGTGGCAGGGACGTCTGGCTATGAAGTTCTTAGCCAAGTTTTTCACTAAGGGGTTGTATTCGGGGGGACTCTGGCAGAGCCAGGGAGATGGAAGGGGGAAAGTGAGAGCTGCAGAGGAGGGGCCGGCTCCCTGGGGAGGCCCGAGGGCTGGGGTAAGGGGAGGTCAGGCCAGTTACCAGGGGTCCAGAGAGCCGGCAGGGCGGGCGGGGCGAAGAGAAGGTCGGAGACGCAGCTACAGTCCATGGTGGAGCCAGCCCTGCAGAGAGGCCGGGACAGACACACGGGGACAGGATGGGGCAGGCGGGAGAGACAGACAGGGGTCAGCCAGGTTGGGCGCTGCCTGGGGCCTCCCCACTCTGCCCAGGCCCCGCCAGGCCTGATGCCCGCCACCCTCTCCCCCCACACCCCGCCTCCTCCCACAGGCACCCCTCTGCCCATTAGTCCCCATCTTTCCCGTCCCACTCCCAGCCCTGTGCCCCCATCTTCCCTCCCAGCCTCTCCTCCCGAAGCCTCCCCCTTACTCTGTGCCTCGATCACTACCAGGCACTCCCAGCCTCCTGCCTCGCTCCTCGCCACTCACTCACTCACTCACTCACGCTTGCCGGCTCTCTCCGCCCCGCACTGCTGTCTCTCCGTCCCTCGTCCCTCAGCTCACGCCTGACCTCTCAGTCCGTCTCTGCCTCTCTGGGTCTCCTGACTCTCTCTCTGGCTGCCCCGGGTATATCTCACTCTGAACCTCGCCCGCACCACCGGTCTGCCCAGCTGACCCCCGCTGGCTCGTCCAGCTCCCGCGCAGCCCCCTACTTGCATCTGTGGGCCCGGAGTGAGCCAGAACTGGGCGCCCGCCCCACACCCAGCCCCTGCCCTCCCCCCTCACCCTGCCGAGCAGCCCCCAGCGCCCTGCATGAGTGCTCCCAGACGCCCCCTCCTAAGCCTGCTGCTCACCCCGCAGACCCCCCTTCCCTCTTAGATCTGCCTCCCCTCCCCAGGTAGCCCCCTTAGACACCCCTTCCCCCTTGGAGATGCCTCACCCCTCAGACACCCCTGCTCCCTTAGATTTGCCTCCCCTCTCAGACAGCCCCCCTCAGTCACCCCTTCCCCCTTAAATCTGCCTCCCCTCTCATACAGCCCCCCTCAGACACCCTTCCCCCTTAGATACGCCTCCGCCTTCAGAGAGGCCCCCTCAGACACCTCTTCCCCCTTGGATTGCCTCCCCTCTCAGACAGGTCCTCCCTTTCAGACCCCCACTCCCTCAGACACCCCTCTTCTCCCTCAGATACCTCATCCCCCTAAGATACCCCATCCCCTCCTCATCCCCGTCTCTCAGAACCATTCCCCTTTCTGACAGCCCCTCCCCGTCAGATAGCCCACCACCCCAGATACCGCCCTCCAACATCTGCTCCTCTCAGACACGCACCCTGACACCCCACCCTCGGACACCCCTCCCCTCGATACCTCAGCCCCCCACCACTCCATGCCTTCAGACCCAACCTCTCTGAGAGAGCACTCTCCTCAGACTCCCTCCTTTAGACACACCACCCTCAGATACCCCATCCCCTCACATACTCTTAAACACACCACCATTCCTCTCCGACACCCACCCCCCTGCTCCCCAAACATCCCACACGCCTCAGAAACCCACTCTGTGCCCCCACAAACCCCAGCTCACCCCTTGGACACCAGACAAGACTTGTCAGATAGCCCATTTCCCCTCAGACTTGTCCAGTCTCCCACACACACACACCCCCACCCCAACCCCTACCGCGAGTGTCTAGTCTCTCCCACATGCTCCCCTCCAGCACCTGGGCCCCTCCACCACCTCAGCTGCCCCCAGGGTCTCCCCTATCCGGGGTCACCTTATTCCCACACCCGGCTCCATCTCCGTCTCTCTCACCCCATCTCCCCAACTTTCTCTATCTCCCTCCCCGGCTCTCTCCCTCTTTATCTCTGTCTCTCTCCTCACTCGGTCTCTCTTTTCTCTTCTCGGTCTCCTCCCACTATCTTTTTTCCATTTTTCTCTCTTTTCTTTCCTTGTCTCTCCTCAACCTAGGCAGTCTCTCTCCCGATCTGTCCCCACCCGGCTCTCTCCCCAGCTCTCTCTCTGTGTCTCTCCCTCCATCACTCAGTCTCTTTTCCTGTTTGTCATCCACAGCCGCCCCCATCTTTTATCCTGTCTCTCCCTGTACCCCCATCCCTTCTCCTCTCTCTCCCTATCTCCCCAGTTCTTCCATCTCTCAGTCTCTCGCTCTGTCTCTCCACCATCTGTCTCTTTTCCTCCTCTCTGGGTCTCTCTCTCTCCCATCTCTGTCTCTCTGCCCCAAGCCCGCCCCGTCTCAGTCTCTCTCTTCATCTCCCTCCT